ACAGGGGAAAAAGCATAAATTTTATGTAAGCACCACTTGGGAAATGATCATTAAGATACAAATTATGCTTTCAAATGTGTAATTACAGCTTACTCTGAAATACCATGCAAGTTCCTACTACCAGGACCTGGCCCTAAGATACCAAAAAAAAAAGTATTATTTATTACAAGTTCTAATAAAGTGTTTATACTTTGAGATTATTTTTTGGAATCTGTCTAAATTCTCAGAAGAATGATTAAACTGAACTAAAGTATGCTACTTGGATTTTAAGCAAGAAACTGTAAATATTTAAACATATTAGACAGAATCTCTTCATCTGCCTATGTCAAAAATTATTATTGAATTGTCTGCATCTTGCCTTAACACTGTTCATGCAAGAACCAGAACATCACCTTTTACAACAAAGCAATTAATATTCATTTCAGCAGGTAAGATAAATTTTAACTGCTGAGGCCGAAGGCTAGAAATACTTTTCAAAAAATATTTCTCTGTTAAAAAAAAAAGAGATGCAGTCACTAATACTATTCCCTGAAACGTTTGTACCTTTAAGTGAACAATATGCAACAGAGACTATCCACCTATCTAAATCCATTCTAAGTTATCATAAAAACAGATCTACCTGGACCTTTTGGATCCCATCTAGCTAGTTTCCAAGTGCGCAAAGGGAGGTAAAGCAGTGGTTGTTAGGGCACTAGGCTGAGACTTGGGAGCTGTCACAGACTTCTGCTGTGAGCTTGAGTAAGTCACCTTAGTCCTCTACATGTCTCAATTCTCACCTGTAAAATGGGAGTAACAGTAATTCCTCTTTCACAGTAACATAAGTGAACCTAATTACATAAGAGATTGTGAGGCACTGATACCACAATGATGGGGACCACAAGTATTTCCAAAAGACAGAACAAGTCTTTCAGTTAAAAATTTCTATACCTACATCTTCATTTTCTACACTTCTGTCCCCCCCGCAAAACTGATACGGCATGATAATACTTTCCAAGAGGTTTTATGAGGGTTTATACAAAGAGTGTTTTGAGATTCTTGAATGAAATATGATATAGAAGGGGAAGGTATTAGTTGCAATCATAGAATCTCAAAATGTAGTCATTTGAAATTTATATCCCACACCAGTAATCACTTCCCTGGCATTATGAAGAAATTTTCTTTAGAACTTGTTACAGGTACAGTATATAGCATAAACACAACTTTGTGATTAGCAACAACAGAGGATAAGAACCCAAAAACAACACAGATGTGGGTACTGTTTTTACTGATATGTTGTGGGTAGGGAGGACTAACAAAGATAGATGGAAATCTACTTCTACTAAAGTACCATTGCTGAATTCCAAATATTTGGACCTATATTAAAGCTTCCTAAATATATACCTTACAGAATAAAATACTTTGCAGTCACTTTCCCAAACACCTGAAGTCAGCCATTAACGTCAATAAAAAGCAACTGCCCCCCCCAAAGTTACAAAGAAGTGACAAATATTTTTAAAACACACTCACAATTCAACATGGTGGATTAACGTATTGTTCTGATTAAAACATGAAGGACCAACGGGGGGGGCGGGCAGGGAGAGCAGGGGCGGGGGGCAGCGGGAAGCCAACCTGTTCTTTGACAAGCAATTTTCATACTTCATCTGTAAAATTATCAGCACTGAAGATAAATTGGATGTGTGGAGATAAGAACAAGAATCCAAATTTGGATTACTATTCTTTCACAGATGGCCAAAATTGAGTTTCCTAGTTGCAATTAGGGATTGAATCCTGTAATAGGAATGGCCTAGCATTTTGTCTTGCAATAACCCAGGCAATGCAGCCAAGGCAACAGCATGTTAGATAGAACTATTGGTGAATTAAAAAGTACACCACTCAAATATAATGAGGGAAATAGTTCAGCAGCAGAGTTGTAATCTAACAGGGGAACTTGAAAGTTCCTGATGATTTCCCACCATTGTCAATTGCTTCTAAATACGAATCAAGAACACGATTAAATTTTCCTTTGCATCAAGGCTATCCAAGTATTCCAATTAATCATCTAACTTCCTAGACAGGGCCTGTTGAGAAAGTGCTGTTCCTTTAAGAGCAGTATACCACCACATTCAAAATGATTAGGTGAAAGCAAGGAATGACTGCAGATCATTCAGGGAAAATGTGCTATCCTGCTCTTAAATGAAGTCAGCACTTTACATTAGGAAAGCCACCTCTTTTGTGCATGAAAGGGGTTCTTTATACCAGCAACTCACCACGGACAAATGTATTCCTAGACAACTTTTAAATGAAGTTGACTTGAGTGATCTTAAAGGAGCTGTAGCAGTACCTTACAGCATTTTCTTAGCAGCATGAATTTGGCTGCACGTGTAGAAAAAACACTGAAGCCATGAGGCATTAGACAGGATGTTTTGATGCAGGGGGGTCAACCCATCATTCTTTCTGTCATCACCCTGATACCATTCACGCCAGCTGCAAAACCCTGCTCCCCTGAAACAAAACTTTGACAGGTTCTTGCTAGGTTTCAAATTTTCTAATAAAGTTATGTATTTATTGGTACTGGACAGTTTTACAGTACAGCAAATCTTTAAGACCTCCTTAAAAAAAACAAACCATGCATAATGGCACCTCTGCTGTACATGAGATATGGACTCATTACATTGAGAAGCTTAAGATAACCCTTTTGCTGAATTTTGAGAAGTTTCTTTTCAATATTTGTGGCCTTTTTATTAATCAAACAACAGTGCTGTATAACAGCAATATTTTCAGTTCAGTATCTGCTTTAGACTACATCTGAAGCCATATACCCCTTAGACAGGAAAGGTTAAGATTTTTACATGAGCCATGTGTTTTACACTGTTCTGTGATACATAAGGACAGAAAATATAGAAGAGATATCTGCATTAACATTGCCAATGTAAGTAATCAAGCTTTCTTGGTTTTTTTTCAGGGCTTCAAACTAAAAGAAAAAGAAAAAAATTACTGCTGAAAGATAAACCTGAGTTCGCTTCTACCACCACAGATATTGCAAAACTACTTAGAAGACTTTATATTTCAGAGCACTCTATCCACCAGTTTTGAATCTACTGATATAAACCATACATTATTTGTCCAGATTTTTATATTTTTAGGATTTTTTTGAGATATCACTGGGTCTGCATGCCATTGTCCTTTTCACAAAATGATCTTCCCAAATCACTCTTTGCCAAGAACTGATCTACAAAAACTAAATGATGCATCTAATATGGTTATGCTGTATTCAACAGTGCCTTTGGGCCTTACTGATTACAGCTGAGACATCCAGGCTGCTGACAGACACGAAAAAAAAAAATTCAAAACCACACTTTACCAGAAGGGGAAGCGTGCTGGTTTGACCTGGTCCCACAGCATCTGTATAGATCGGGTGCTTTAGTGGGGCTTTTTGGCACTTTTATCTGATAGCTGATTCAATCAGCTATCAGATAAAAATGCCAAAAAAGGTTCTGCTGAAGCACCCGATCTATACAGATGTTGGGTGATCCGGGTCCAACTAATGCAATGCCTCTTTTGGGCACGTGCTGCGCACAGTGCAGGGACGTACTGAGTTTTAACTAAAGCACCTTTTCCCGGGGGTTTTTTACATCTGTAAATAGACTCAGTGTCCCAACTCAGTATCATGTGTGCGCACAGGTTATTTGTAATTCACATCACACAAGTGTTTTAAAAAGGGCTGGGATTATTTGGTATAAAGACAAGTCTAGATGTACATCAGGTAGAGGCTTAACATGATTTTACAATAAGCAGCTACAGTAGCCTGCTGCCTATAGCTCTTGTGCTATTCTACACCAAACCGATCATCAACTGGGGTTCCAGTGTTTAACACCACAGCAAGTGTCAGAGGTTCACATATATAAACTTTTCTTTCCTTTACAGGTCTATATGTGTTGGGCTTTATTTGTGCAAAGCTTTATATGTTTTACGCAGCTCCCCACAACCATCTCTACTCCCTTTTTCAAGACTAAGGTGTGCACACAGCTTTGGAAACCCTGAGACAGTTAAGTTGTGACAGAGGTTAAAATGGAAGTCATACACGAAGTTTAAAAACATAACTCCTGTACACCTCACCATTACGTTTTTCAACCCATTATTCCTTTTTTGAATCTAATAAGTTGGGCTTGTATTGTCTGGAAAAGCATGCAGTCTTGATTAAGGCATCAAGTAGTGAACTCTCCATTAGCAGGGAAGTGCCAAACAGCTCCATGTATGCTTTTAGACACGTGAAAATTCACAGAAAGAAATTCAAATATGCACCTAAATATTTGCAGGCCTAATCATGCAAGTATGGTTCTCTAGCCAGCTTATACAGGTGTGGAAGTTCGCATGTATAGACTGCAACACCAAACTTTTCACCATGAAAGTAGCTTTAGAACTTGCTTCTTTTAGAAGAAGATTGCCAGCCATTGACAAACAGAATATTGGAGCAACTGTCAGCCAGATACCAAATTAGATGCATCGTTAGCACAGTACAGCTATCCTAACCTAGCATGACACTGCCTAGGTTTCAGCAATCCTACTACTCGCTGCACTGAGAAATACACCTGTGCATAAGCTGCATTTTAAAGTAATCGGGCAAATCAAATAGCGCGAGATCTGCAAAACTTTGGTTCCCCTATCCCTCCCCATTATATCCGTAAAACAAACCCAGACGGTTCGAAGTGACTGACTTAGTTCTGCTTTACGAAGGCAATGCCAGCATTACCTTACTTACGCATGTGGGCGAAGCACTATTTCAATTTTTACAAAGGTGGCAACTGAGATAGGAGGAGACAAAGTGAGTGGACGCGGGTTGCAAAGCTGATGTCAGAAACGCGACTGTAACCCGCGAGCTCCGAGGCCCTGGGTTCGAACCCGACCGCACACGCACATGACCAGGCGTGCGACTAAAAAAAGCAGGCGCGCCTCAGCAGACTCATCCGAAGGGAGTCTCCCCTTAGCCCCTACTCCCTTCCCCTCCCCCGCCGGGCACTTACCAAAAAGCACAGCTGGGGCCAGTTGTGGATAAAATACCTATATGTGTAAATGGAGTAGGGTTCAGACAGATCTTTGGTGATCAGTCTCATGATATCGGGCATCTGCAGCTCGGACTCGTATCGCACATATCCTATCGTGGGGTCCTCCTCGGGCCGAGAGTCCGTCTCTGAGCCTTTCAAGCTGCAGCCGGAGGCTAAGGACCGGGTGAGAAGCAGCAGGGGCTCCTCCACCGCCTCGTCCTCCTCCTGCTCTTCTTCCTCCCCCTCCTCCTCCTCGGGCCCGCTGCCCCCCGCCAGTCCATTGCGGGCGGCCCCGGCGGCGGGGGGCGCAGTCCTGCCCGGCGGGGGGAGGTGGTTGGCGGCGGCGACGGGCCCCTCCTCGGCGCTCAGCACCTTGCTCTTGAGGGAGGCGCGGAGGCGGCGCAGCTCGGGGCTGAGGAGGCCGTTGAGCTGATGGTTGTGGTGCGGCGGGTGCGGGTGCAGGAGCCGCGGTGGC